GGTGCTCCCAAAAATCCAGGGTGTCCCCAGGAGCTTGGGGTGTTCCCAGGAGTCCAGGGTGTTCCCAGGAGCTCGGGGTGCTCAGAGGGCCCCGGGATGCTCCAAGGGTCCAGCACCTCCCACAGGGCTCTGTTCCCTCTGAGCAGCCCCGGATGCTCCAGAGCTCCCTGGACACTGCAAAGCCCCAGGATGCCCTGAGGAGTCTGAGATGCTCCAAAGCCCCCCAAGAATTCTGGAAGCCTCAGGATGCTCCATGAGCCCTGGAATGTTCCAAAGTCCCTGGGGTACTCGGCAGATTCCTTGGATGCTCCAAAACCCTGGGATGCTCTAAAGCCCTGGGATGCTCCAAAATCCTGGGATGCTCCAAAACCCTGGGATGCTCCAAAACCCCTGGGATGCTCCAAAGCCCTGGGATCCTGCAAAACCCTGGGATGCTCCAAAGCCCTGTATCCCACAAAACCCTGGGATGTTCAAAAACCCTTGGATGCTCCAAAACCCCTGAAATTCTCCAAAACCCCCAGGATGCCCCAAAACCACTGGGATGCTCCAAAACCCTGGGATCCTGGAAAGCCCCCAGGATCCTCCAAAACCCTGGGATACTCCAAAACCCTGGGATGCTCCTGAATGCCTTTCCCTCTCCGGGATTCTCTAAAACCCCCAGGATGCTCCAAAACCCTGGGATAAACCAAAACCCTAGATTTCTCCAAAAGCCCCGGGATGCTCCAAAACCCCGGGATGCTCCAAAACCCCCGAGATTCTCCAAAACCCGCAGGATGCTCCAAAGCCCTCAGGATGCTCCAAAACCCCGGGATGCTCCAAAACCCCGGGATGCTCGAGCTGCCCGCAGACGCCGGGATGCGGGTGCGGAGAATCTCCCGGGAAAAGCAGCCGGGAGAGGGGGGGAACGGGGCGGGGCGGGCCCGGTCCCCCCCCCAGGCCCCCGCCCGCCCTTCCGCACGTTCCTTCCTCCCCCCGGCATCCTCCTCCTCCTCCTCCTCCCCCCGCTCTCGCGACAGCTCCGCACAGAAAATGGCCCCGCGGCCGCCCCGCCGCTGATGCGCGACCCGGGCGGCGCCGGCCCCGCCGCAGCCCCGGTACGGCCGGGAGGGACCGGGAGGGACGGGCGGGCACCGGGGCAGGACCGGGACCGGGGAACGGACCGGCACCGGGAATGGATTGGCACAGGGGGTGCGCAGACAGCCGGAGATTTACCGGCACCGGCGGGGGTGTACCGGCAACCGGGGGTGTACCGGCACCGGGGGTGTACCGGTATCAGGGGTGTACCGGTATCGGGGGTGTACCGGTATCGGGGATGTACCGGCACCGGGGATGTACCGGTATCGGGGATGTACCGGCACCGGGGATGTACCGGTATCAGGGGTGTACCGATATCAAGGGTGTACCGGTATCAGGGGTGTACCGGTATCGGGGGTACCCCGGCACCGGCGGGGTGCTGGCACCGGGAAGGGAGCACTGGTACCGGGGGATGTAACGGGCCAGGGGTGTACTGGCACCGAGGCTGGATCGGTACCAGGGATGAACCAGCACCGGTACCGGGGGATGGACCGGCACCGGGGCTGGAGCTGCCCCGGGGCCAGCAGCGGTACCGGAGCGGGGCCCGGGGTACCGGGGCTCTGCAGGGAGCCGGGACCAGCGGCAGCCCCGGGGCTGCTGCCCGCGGGGGCTCCAGCCACGGGGTCGCTGCCCACGGGCTGGGTGGCCGTGGCTGTCACCACCCCCTGGACTTGCAGCCATGGGTGTATGGCCCGTGGGGGGCTACCAGCCCCAGAAACCAGTAGCCAGGGGGGCTACCCTGGGATTGTCACCTGTGGGGCTGACAGGCACAGGGGGCCACGGGAGCCACTGCCCTCGGTTCAGCAGGACCCCCTCACATCCCGGGCTGCCCCTGCCGGGATCTGCCCGTGCTCCCTCCATCCTCCCGCGCCTCTGGGAGCCGCTTTGGGGCTCTCCGAGCGGGGGGATCCTGCCCTTGGCCACGGGGTGAGCTCGCCTGGTGCTGGGCTCAGCTTTGTCCAGGCTCGGGGAGGGAGCTCCAACATCCCCCGGTGGCTCCTGAAGGGAAAGCGGGGCTTTTTCCCAGCTGATGTGGCCGGGTGGATGGGCAGGTAAAGGTGGGCACTGGGGTGGTGTGGGAATGTGGGGAAATGGCAGCAGGGCTTGGAGCACCCTGAGGGCCAGTGGGGACCCCCAGGCCAGGGATGTGACACCAAGGCCGGGCACGAGGCTCAGCACTCGCCCCTCTGGATGCCCACCCTGGCTTTGGGGGGTGCTCCCCAGGCTCCTCGGCAGATTGTGAGCTGGAACGCAGGGAACCCCTCCAGGGAGGGGTGGCACCGCAGGCAGCAGCTTTGCCCCAGCCCACGGCCGGATTGGGGCACCCACCTTGCGTGGGACACCTGGAGCATCCTGCCCCCGGCACCCCCAGCTCGGTGAGCTGCCGGCGCTGTCTGAAGGCTCCAGGAGAACGCACAGGCTGTGTTTTAGCTGGGCTGGTGGCACTGCCGGCGCTTCCTCCCCCGATGCGATCACATGAGCCCCTTGTTCCCAGCCTTTGTCTCAGCTCTGCGCCGAGGAGCCGCGGCTAGGGGCAGCCTCCTCATCCTCGGGCCTCAGAGATGCTCCAGTCGGATTATTTGTGCCATTTATCCTCGCGGGGTGGGTTGAGCAAAGTCTCAGGGTATGGATAAAGCCCCCCCCCCGGATGGTTTGAGGGGGATGAGCTAATTATTGTGCTAATTATGGTGTTAATAATTCACTGAATCAGCAGCACAGACTCCTCGGGGTGATGGGCAGCTGCAAACATCCTGCCTGCCCTCATGGCTGGCAGTCCCTGGAAGGATTTTTGGGGTCCCTGTTCACCCCACAGGGGTTGGGAGGAGGGAGTTTTGTGCCAGCAGCTTTTTGGGGAGGCAGGAAAATGCTGGGGATAATGACAGGGACAGGATTTGGGTTCCAGGGCAGGTTTGCACTGGTGGTCACATCTTGGGGGGAGTCATATTTCCAGTGGGGTCCTGTCTCTGGGGGAATTGTGTCACCAGGGGGGGTGACATCTCTGGGGCAGTGACATCTCTGGGGCAGTGACATCTCTGGTGACCACGGGAGGTCACTGGGGATGGGGACAGTGGCAGCTCAGCAGCACCTGGGCTGGGGTGTCGTGCTCAGGGCTGCAGAACAGACAGTGCTGGAGGAGGGGAAGTGTTGGCCACCATCCCAGGGGAGGTGACAAATGACAGCAAGATGATCCAGGTGCCACCTGCTCTCCAAAAACCTGGGCTGGGCACAGGGCAATGCCACAGTGCTGCCACCGTGTCCTCTGCCATGTCACCCGTGGGGAACGTTGGGGCCAAGTGTCCATCCCGCCTGCCCTCACAGGATCTGCTCAAGAGCTTCTCCAGCTTTTCCAGAGGGAAAATATCATTTTACAAGGCATCACTGGGATGCTGCAACAGGGAAATGGAGAGTGGCATCTGTGATCCCAGAGGTTCCAACATCTCAAGGGGCTGCTGCCTTTGACCCTGGGGCTCCAGGAGCTCCTGTCCTCTGCTGCTGATGGGGAAAAATGTCCTGATTTCTTGGGGAGACTTTCCTGTGCTGCCCCTGAGCTCTCAGCACCGTGGCCCTGCTCCTTTTGAGCTCATCTGGAGCCTGCCAGTCCCAGGGCTCTGCCAGCCCAGGCTGGGCCACCCGGCTCTGATCCAGAGGGGCTTTTCCAGCAGGGCAGCAGGAATTTTGTCTCACTGCACTCTCCAGCACGGTGCTTCCAGCTCTCACACATCAGGATTGGGCACCAAAACGTGGCCATGCCACAGGGACACTGCCCAGGGGCTGGGCAGGCAGGCACAGCCCTGCCTCAACCTTTTCAGCATTGTCTCCCTCAAAAAGAAGATTCCCAAGACCCTTTTTCCCACCAAACCCCTCATTTCTACCTGATGAACAAAGCTCCATCAAAGCTGCCGGGAAATTCCCGTGTTTACCCCATGTCCTGCAGGGATGAAGGATGGAGATGGAGCATCCCCTCCATCCAGGGCTGAATTTCTCCTCCTGGGCCATGAGCAGCCCCAGCCCTGCCCCAGATTCCCTGTTCCATGGCCAACCCCCCTCCATGGTTGGCTGATCCCATCCCGAGGCTGCTGAGCTGAGAAAACAACAACAAAAAAAGGCCCCACAAGCCCCAGACAAAGCCAGGACCCGGGGGCAGCCACAGGAATAATCCCACATGGATTTTTCCCCCCTCCCTGATTTATTTCCCGCTGGGCTGTGATCCCAGTGTTCTGGGTGCTGCAGGAACAGCTGCTGAGCCCGGCTTGGCCAGGCTGAGCCCCTCTGGGCGAGACCCAGAGCTGAAAGCTGGGAAATGCCTCTGGAGCAGATGTTAATGGGAAGGATGGGGTGCCCCAGCACCAGATTTCCCAAGGAGTTACTGAGTTCTTGGGAAAGCATCACCCAGTGGCCACTTCACAGCCCCATCACTGATATTATTGTTATTATCATTGTCATTATTATCAATATCAGCATTATCATCAGCATTATTATAAATATTTTTACCCTTTTATCCTTTATATTTTAACCTTTTGACCTTATTTTCATCATTACTTATTATTATTATTGCCATTATTACCACCATTTTCTCTCTCACTCCAACATTAAGACACTACAGGGAAATCTCCCAAACTGAGGGGATTTTCCAGATGATTTTCATTGGGAATTTGAGTTTGGCTTATCCACATGGGAGCCTTGTGCCAAGCCAATGTAATTTTGGGCAAGAACAGTTCCCAAGTGCCCATCATCAACTCCCAGTCACTCAGTGGGACCTGCTGCTCCTCCTGCCTGGAAACCCTTTGGAATTTTGAGGGGAGCACCCAGTGAGCCCCCCAGCCCTGGGAGCAGGAGGCTGGAGCAGCTGCAGCAATCCGTGGTTTGGCTGTGCCTTGGAGGGGATCCCCTTGGAGGAATTCCCCCAACTTGGGGGAAATTTTAGCTACAGTTGCTGTGGGCTGGACACGAACAGGATCCTGGTGATGCCTGGGGGGATGTCAGGGGGGTTTGGGGACCACCCTGGGCTGGGAGAGACAGGAAGGGACAGCGACAGCTCTGGGATCTCCTGCGGGCTCAGCCCTGGGTGGGAGGATCAGTCCCACAACCACGGGGCACCGAGGAGGAGAAGGAGGAAAAGAAAGAGGAGGAAGAGGAGGAGGGAGTCAGTGTGGCCCCGGACTGGGATCTGACCCCCCTCCCTGATCCCTGTGCAGCATCACCAGGAGGAGCCGCCGTGTCCCTGTGCCCAGCTCCAACCAGGCCATGAAGACAGAGAAGGACGAGCCCGTGGCCACCTTCTCCCTGCGGGGCAAATTCGGCATGGAGGGGGCAGGTGAGTGCCCCAGGAGCAGGGGAAAGCCTTTGGTCCTGTGGCTGGGAGGTCCCTCTGGCCGAAGCCCCCCCGTGGGGATGTGCCCAGGTGTGCCAGGGCGTGCCTGGGTGCGCAGGTGGCATCACCCAGCGTGTTCCAGCCGCCAGCAGGCTTCACCTTCACACCTGGGAAGGCTGCTTCCCTAGGGCACAGCCAGCTCTCACACCCGGGGGCTCCGGCCTCTCCGTCCCTGCAGCCAGAGCCCCGCTTCACTGTTCTGAAGGGATGGGGAGGGCAGGGCGCTGCTGGGGCAGGGCCGAGCCTCACGAGCTGTCCCCGCAGGCTGCAGTGCCCCGGCCCTGCCCGGTGCCCCGATGCCGCTGGCGGGGAGCGGAGGGACCCCGGCCCCGGAGCTGCGGCCGCTGAAGCGCAGACCTGTCCCAGGTGAGCCCAGCCCCGCCCCGGGGAGGGGACAGCGACGGCCGGGGCAGGGCCGAGGCCGACGCGGCATCTGTGTCCTTGCAGGGAAACATTACCAGTGCTCGAGCTACGGCTGCAAGCTGGCCTTCCCCAGCATGCAGGAGCTGATGGACCACCTGAAGGTGCACTACAGACCCACGCAGTCCCTCGAGGGTAAGCCAGGACACGCCACGCTGCGAGGGGGCAGAGCAGGGCTCAGAGCCGAGGCAGCGCTGGCGGGGGGAGATGGGAGCGGCCCCAGCAGCGGGGCCGCTGCTGAACCTCTCCCCGAATTGCTCTGCCCAGGCAAAACCTTCCGCTGCCCCACCCTGGGCTGCACCGAGACCTTCCCCAGCATGCAGGACCTCATGGCCCACATGAAGGTGCACTACAAACCCAACCGCTACTTCAAGTGAGTCCCCGTCCCCATCCTCCTCTCCGCGGCCACCCGGCGCCCCCGAGCCCCACCCCGGCCGCCGGGGCTGGGCTGCGGGCGGTGCCCGGCTCTGACGGCTCCTTCCCGGCCGCGCAGGTGTGAGAACTGCCTGCTGCGCTTCCGCACGCACCGCTCGCTCTTCAAGCACCTGCACGTCTGCTCCGACAGCGCCGGGGGCTCCGCGCCGCCCCCCCGGCCCGACCGGCCCGTCCTGCCGCCCGCCGCCCCGGAGAAGGAGCCCCCGGCCAAGCCGGCCGAGGGGCTGCCCCGGCTGCCGAGCGCTCCGCGGCCGCTGCAGAAGGAATCGCCGGCGGCGGGCGCGGACTCTGCCGCGGCCGCGCTGCCCTCGGCGCTGCCCGGCTCGCTGGAGCCGCTGCCGCTGGTGTCGCCGGCTCCTCACCCCTTCCCGCTGCTGGAGCCCGGCCTCTTCGGGCCCTCGTCCTTGCCTCGCTTCTCGGGGCCGCCACCCCCGTCCTCGGTGCCGTTCCTGTCCTACGTGCCCCCCTCGCCCTACGGGCTGGCGCAGCCCCCGGCTCAGCACCGCCTGCGGCCCTTCCTGCCGGGCCACGGCCCCCCCAGCGTCTCCAACGCCGTCTGGAAGAAAAGCCAAGGTGAGAGCGCCGAGCCGTTCGGGACAAAGCTTCTTCTGCTCCCGCCTTGACCAGCAGCAGCTCCCGAGCAGGACCAGCCGAGGATCCGGCCCCCTCCTCCCCGCTCCGGCCCGGCCGCCCCCCCCAAAAAAAAGCCCCGTCCCGCCCGTGCCACCCCCTGGGTGATGATGCTCGATTGGGCCAAAAAAACGCCTCCAAATTCTCCCGGCCCTGCTGCTCCCCGGCGTGCGGGGGGGCCGGGCCAGGCCTGCCCTCCCACATGTCCCCCCAGGGAGGGGAAGACCTAATGCTTGTCTCGGGCCTCGATTCCCTCCGCAGGTGTGAGTGTCAGCCCACTCCTCCCATGCTTTGGCTCAGGAGTGACTCCAGGTTAGTTTGGCACCTCCTGGGTGGGGGCTGCTTTCTGTCACTGGGGGGTTTGGGGGGCGGCGGGGGGGGCGCAGGGGGTGGGAGATGCCCCAGGGGCACTGCAGTGCTCCCGGGAGAGCAGAGGGGGAGGGCGGGCTCCCTCCTTTTTGGGAGCCACGCGGAGAGGGGATGCGGCCCAGCTGGGCTCCGAGGCAGGGGGGGTACCGGCTGCACCCCCCCAAAACCCCCCAGCCTGGCCCCGAGGGCAGAAGCAGCAGGAGGAGGAGCAGCAGCAGCAGCTGCCTGGGCTCCGGTGCCCCCAGTACCCCCAGTGCCCCCAGTACCCCCAGTCCCAGCCCAGAAGCCGCCGTGCCCTTTGCTGCGGGGCGGGGGGCACAGCCTGGCCCCCTGCTCCCACATTCGGGGCTCTTCCCTTGGGAAGGGAACCCCTGAGCGAGTGGGGCTCAGAGCGGGGGCGCTCCAGCCCCCACAGCCCCGCGGCACCACCCGGCTCCGGGCGATCCCGGGGCGATCCCGGGGCAATCCCAGGGCGATCCCTGTGCTTCCCTGCCCGCCCGTCCTTGCAGGGCACTCCTCCAACAGCCGCATCGTCTGGGAGCACACGCGGGGCCGCTACAGCTGCACGCAGTGCCCCTTCTCCACCGCCTCCCGCCAGGAGATGACCCTGCACATCGAGGACCACCGCAAGAACCCCCCGCCCGGCCGCCTGGAGGCCGACATGGGTACGGGAGAGACCCCCCGGCTGCCGGGATGGGCTCGCTGCCCCGCGGGGATAAGGCACATCCTGCTCCCTTTGTCCTGGCACGGCCTGGCCGGGTTCCAGTCCCTGCTTCCCCAGCCTGCAGCAGTGCCCCGGAGGGGTTTGTGTGCCCCCCCTGTGCCCCTGGCCCCTGCAACGGCCTGGGGACTGTGTGCCCCCTCTGTGCCCCCAGCTCCTCAATGTCCCTGGGGTCTGTGTGCCCCCCCTGTGCCCCCGGCCCCTGCAATGGTCTGGGGGGTGTCTGTGTGCCCCCTCTGTGCCCCCAGCTCCTCAATGTCTCTGGGGTCTGTGTGCCCTCCCAGTGCCCCCCTGTGCCCCCAGCCGTCAATGTCCTTGGGGGCTGTGTGTGCCCTCTCAGTGCCCTCTCCATGCCCCCCAACCCCTGCTGTGCCCTGGAGGGGTCCATGTGCTTGCCCTCTCTGTACCCCCAGCCCCTGCGATGCCCCTGGGGGTGTCTGTGTGCCCTGCCAATGCCCTCCATGTGCCCCCCAGCCCCTGCGATGCCCCTGGGGGTCCATGTGCCCCCCCCACGAGGTGCTGACAGTTCTCTCCCCTCTCCCTCCAGATTTCGGGGTGGGCCTCGCCCCGTTCCACGCCAAGCTGCCGCCGGAGGTGGAGAACTCCCTGTACTCCCAGCTTTGATGCCCTCGGCTCCCAAGGGACTCTCCTGGCGTGCCCTGAGCCGGGCAGGGGGCACAGCACAGCCCCTGCACTGTGCAGGGACAGGCAGCCCTCCCTGGGGACAGGAGCAGCCAGCGGGGCCGATGTTTCCCCTGGAATTTCTCCCCTTCCTTTCCATTTTTGGGGACTCTCCAGCAGCCGGAACCTCTGTATCTCCCTCCCCTAAAGGTTTTGTTGCTTCAGCCCCGGGGGCTCTGCGGGGAGCCCGGTAGGTTCTCAGGAGGTAGTGGACTTCTCTGGAATGAGATCTTGGAAAAATAAATGGGAATTGTACAGGAGTGGCAGCCGGGAGAGGCTCTGTCAGTGCCCGTGGGGGCGGGGGGAGCGGGGCTGGCACTGAGGAGCCCCCCAAAAACCAAAGGAGGGGGACATGGGGACACAGGGGGGTGTGACCCTGTGCCCCCGGGCCGGCCCTGCCAGGGGCTGGCTTGGGGAAGGGGCAAGGGAAGGGTTTGGGAAGTTTGGGAAAGGGGAAGGTCTGAGGAAGAGGAAGGGATGCTCCATGCTGCCCCTGCCCCCTGCCAGCACATCCAGAGCACGCAGGGCTAGAGCCTCTGCCAGCTGCACCCCAGCAGCCAGAGCAGGGTGGGAGCCCACGCCCCGGGCAGCCCCCGTGCCTGGCCCGGCCCCGCCGCAGGAGGAGGGCATGGGATGGCACAGAGAGCCACGGAGAGGGGCAAGGGCCCAGGTGCCCAGCCCGGGGCAGCTGCACCCCCCGTGGGAGCACCCTGGGGCTCCCCCAGTCCCGCTCTGCCAGTCCCAGCCCAGCGGGGTGAAAAGTTTGCTGCAAACTGGTTTGAGGGGAGACGTGCTGGGACCTGCTGGGAGCACAGCAGCCCCAGCTGGGAGCTGGGAGCGAGGGATGGGAGAGCCGGGAGGGGCCACGAGCACCGGCAGAGGGCTCAGAAAGGCCCAGTGGCCACCTGGGCCGGGTGGGCACCCCTTCCTCCTTCTGCCATGCCTTCCTCCTTCCTCCTACCATCCTTTCCTTCCTCCTGCTGCCACCCTTCCTCCTACAATCATTTCCTTCCTCCTGCTGCCATCCCCCCAGGCTGAGCAGCACCCGGGATGCCCCCGGGGCTCTCTCCTGCAGCCCCCCTGAGCTGGGGCCGTGCCCCCCCAAGTCCAGCCCGGTCCCCTCGGGCCCTGAGCAGGGGATGGACACCCTGGAGTGACCCTGAGCTGCTGAGACCTCAGAGTAACATCAGAGCTCATCACAGAGCCAGCACGGGGTCACAGAGTGCCCCAAAGGGGGGACCCCGAGGTCCCAAAGTGGGGCAGGGGGCACAGCTCAGGCCCCCGTGCCCAGCTGGCACAGGTGACTGCCCTGGCCCCCAACCCACTGAACACTCCAGGACAGTGCCACCCCAAAAGGCAGGAGGGAGACCCTCCCCAAGCTGTCCCTGCCCCTGGTACGGCTCTGCCCCCGCCAAGGGGGCACGGGGGTGCTGCAGAGCCCACGGTGCTGGGACCCCACCCCACAGCAGAGCCCCACTCTGTCCCTGCCAGCCCAGGCCGAGCCAAACCCAGCCCTGCCCCCAGCAGAAACCCAAACGTGCCCCACAGCCCCACTCCGAGCATTCCTGGCTGGGCCCAAGGCAGAGGCAGCCAAGACAAGCTCCATAGCAAAGGATTTTTAAAAATGGAGTTTTTATTAAAGTTTTATCCAAATTTTGTAACAAAAGATACAAAAGGGCTGGAGATCCTTATTTCTGGGACTAGTCTGACCAATCAAAACCTGACAGTTACTAGGCTAATATAAAATCCATACAATCTGCTAAAAATGCAGGGAAAAAAAATTAGAAGTAACTGCTGCTCTGACTTATTTTTTTTTTCTTTTTTTAAAATTCCTTAAACATTTATAAGTTACTCAGTTTGCATTTTACAGGATTAGTTCTTCTCCGAATGGTCACAGCGACTGTACAATGCAAGAGACACCAGCAAAGCGAGACAGGAACGGGGATGTGCTGCTGA